GAGCGTGATTCTAGTATGCTAACCTTCAGAGAATCCAGTAGCTATGAGCTTTATGGAATTAATAGGACTAGAGATTGCTGAGGAGAAAAAGGGAGGACGGGGTTCCAGTCCACAATGTTTATACAGGTGGGGATTTGGATCTGCACATGGTGGCAAAGGGAATGGGGTTGCCTGAATGTCAATACCTTCAACTTTGGAAATGATATAGGCGAGAAATATGTATGTGACTCTTCTGAGGATCCAATTATTTTTGGGTCATGATAGATTGCAAGCTCTGTGAGATTTTCGAAGATAACCGATCCAGGCAGACTGCCTCTAAAGATATGCCATGAATGTGCGATATCGGAATAAAACAGTGCTAAAATTTCAAGTGAAGGTGCGAATATCTTAGGTAGATGCTCAGCACTCTTAGTGTTGATGTGCAGATCCAACCTAGCGATGTATGAAGAGAAACATGTATTGCCCAGTTCTGAAAGTATAAAATTTGATTTAATTCTTGTTTGTAGTCGTGGCAAGTAAAAGTTTAGCATATCACCAAGTGGAAATAACGGCGGATTCTTCACTGGATACATAGATACACTACGACACAAATGCTTCCCATGAGGAATGTGAGTTATGAAATATTGTGAGGTTTGCGATAGTCGTTCTCTGACATCATCAGTTATAGGAGGTTTGGTGTCTGAATCCTGCTTTGCCGCCTGTGGATCCTCAATAAAACATATTTTCTCCAATCTAAGCCACTCGACAGTGCTGAATCCAAAAACCCCAAGGATATCTCCAAGAGACAAATAATCGATGGTACAGGCTCGAGATGAGATAACCAGCCTTTGAGTGTAGTGACTATTCTTTGATCTCACAATATGCAAGGTGTTTGTTCTCCATAGAATAGGGTGTGGTGATGAAGTTGAGAGATGCATGCCTCTGGATGCGAGCTGATTGGAATCAGAGGTGTTGCCATACAGACGTAGCTGGTCAGCAGTTGGCTCACAGTACAAGATAATCGCGATAGTATAGAGGCTCTCTTTTATAGCGTCTCTCCAGTGTTGGCAAACTCGGTTTAGTTGGAGGAATGAAATATAAATATCGACATTATCAGGAGTATCTAGCCAAAAAGTGTTATCATATATGGCGACAATTCGCTGAAGAATGTATGGTTTCAGTATAGCCCAGTGCGCCATTGGAGAAATAGGTGTTTGCGAGGTAGAACGGAAGAGAAATACAGCCTCGGGTGACAACTGCTGACAACCTACACGTATCATGCACAAGCCATTCCTCATTGGAGTTTCCCTAATCCTACTCCATCATCCACAATACTTGGCCCCAGGTGTTTACACAGGTCGCATAGATCTAATCTCGCTGCGGAAAGAAAAGGAGTATATACACACTATATGTTTCTGAAGGGTAATATAAGAGATACCATTTCAAACCCGAAGAGAGTAGAAAGAAGTATAAAAACCACGGGTGCTGCTTGACATCCCTTCGGATATCTGAGCTGGAGACAGAAAACTCACGCCGATTTGGCGTGAATGAACGGGAAGTTACAGATCTCTCACTACTGTCAGGACACGTCCCGATCAGCAAATTATATCAGATCTGTGTGGTCATGTGGTTTGTGGGAACTCTCTAATTGCACTGATTAATCGTCATCGTTCCTTGGCATTTCGAGTAGCGAGCACGTCATGCGGACGTCTCTCAGCTCTCTTGTCTTTATTGTTTTGTCTTTTGCCTAGTTTACAGCCTCAATATCCATAGAATGTAAGTAGTACTGTTAAAAAACGATGCTCAAGAACCAGCACTGCTTGTTCATGCTTGCTTAGTTTTGCTTCTACTGCCTTCCTCTTTGTAGCATGTCGGACAGCCAGAAGGTTATCATTGTGTTCAAGGAGGGTGCCACAGATGCTGAGAAGGATGCCATCAAGAGCTCAATCACCGCGCAGGCGGCAAGCTTGGTGACACTCTGGCGCTCATCAACGGCATCTCTGCCACCATTCCGAACAGCTTCACCTCATCGCTGACTGGCCATGCCGCTATTGACAGCGTCGAGAACGATGGTGAGGTGTCCATTCAGTAATCTTCGGCTTTGTTCGCCAGCCCATCTTTTGCCGGCCGCTAGGTACGAGCATTCATAAATATATTTCAGTCCTTGTTCAGTTGGTCAATGTGCGAGTCCCACCGGGCATCCTTGATTAGGAAATCGTACCATTCAGGCACAAGCAGGATGGTGGCTCCATGCCACAGCGAGTGCGCGTCGAACGAGTCTAGGAATGGCGGGAAGTCGAAGGCCTCGAGGCTAAAGGCGGCATCAGTCAAGAGAATCAGAACTGCGGGCTTCCACCACTGCTTGTTACGGTGGTGGTACGCCTGGTACGTCACCACGAACCATGCCACATTGCTCATCAGGCCGACGATGGCATTCGCCAGCATGTTGTACTGGTAGTCAAACTTGATAAACGACAGGTACCCGACATGCATAAAATACGGGACCGCGCAGAGCCCGGCTACAACCCGCGTTTCCCGCCAGGTCTTGAGCCGCAACAGCCGCACAACTCCGAGGAAGAACATGTACAGAACGTTGAGGCCTGCCGAGTAGTAATCGAGCTTCTCGGTGATCGAGAAGTCGCGAATATGGAACACGGCCGACCACAGCCACGTCCATGTCCCGAGCACCACAAAGACACTGAGCCATAGCCGCATCGGGTGCTGTTTCGATATGCCATTGCGCACCAGCGGCCAGCTCTTCAGGTGCATATACCCGTTCAGCACGCTGAAGATGACACTGGCTGGTTCCTGCACGCCCCAGATCCGCACAAACGGCCACTTGCCGTGATACTGGTACACAGGCGCGTTCTGCTTTTGCGCCGCGACCGTGAGTTGCCGCTGGCATTGTAGTCGCAATTGCTTTCACACGTCCAGAACAGCATACGCAGGTGCAGGGGCAATGGAGAGGCAGTTGGCGCACAGTCCGTTTGCTCGCATGCAGTTACACAGCTTTTGAAGGCGGGCTGCCGATCGCCGTAGGATGCCGAAGCGACGGTTGCAAGCAGTAACGCTGTAAGAAACCTCCAGGCCCTCATGTTCTATGCGTGGATATTAGGATAGCCGGCAGGAAACGTAAACAACAAAAGCTGAAGAGAAAAGTGTATGCGGGTTTCCGCCCATGCTGATATCGAAAATGCGAGCCATGCAGCAATTACCCTAGAAGGCAGGCTAGAAGTTGTGGGGGAAGTATCGAGTCGCGACTCGGTCCGGTCGCAGCTCGCTCCTCTCTGTATGCCATGTTCGTCAGATACTGGGCACTTGCTTCGCTTAGCCATGCACGCTCTGATGACTACCGCAGCCGCCTGATATCAACACCACAATGCCAGCACTTTCTGACAGGGTCGCCAGCATTGTGTGCAGGTCAGTTGCCATATTTCATTGAGCTTTTACTCAATCAGCAACTCAATTCCCTAATAGTAAAAGTTGAATGTAATCTAGTACACCAGTATTTGCTACATTTTCATGCCAGTAGATTTACAAACACCAGGCTTATATCTTCTTTTGTCTTTCTCTCCATGGACTCACTTCTGATACAGACAGTTTCACGCAAGATCACTGCCACCCAGTGGCTCCAGCCGCATGCTGGCAGTGCGTACAACGACACAGACCTGTATTTTGTCACCGGATCCAGCGCAACTGTGGCCGAGCTGTCTCTCTGGGCTACACCGAATCCGGACTTCGCCCAGCAGCCTACCAAGCCCACTGAGGCATTTGCCACACCCGCTGGGTGTGTGAATCACGAAGGTGATGTAACAGGCATTTCTGTTGCAGCCACTGCACGGCTATTGCTACCGGATCGTCACACGGCACTGTGTCGGTTTATCGCATCGATACCGATTCCACACAGCCACTGGAGTTGAGTGAATCCATCACGGCGCACCGGTACACCAACGGTGAGTTGGCTGTATGTACTGGTATTGCTGTCCAGCCAGCACCGGCCATGGACATCGAGATTGCCAGCTGCGGCGAAGACGGGCGTGTTGCGTTCGCGCCAATTTCCCGACTAGCCGCATTGCAAATGTACGATGTCGACAGCACAGTGATTACCGGTATTTGCTGGACCACACCGCAGCAGATCGCCGTATCGACGCGGACCAGCCAGGTCAAGCTCGTCGATCGGCGGTCGCCTGGCGATATTGCTGCTGCCTTTGTTAAACTGGCTGACAGTGTCGCATTTGAGTGCGTTAATGTGCACCCGTCTCAGCCGCACCGCATCGCCACGGGTACAGATGACGGGTCGGTGATGATTTGGGACATCAGGAACCCAAAGGAGCCGCAAACCGAGGCGTTCGGTGTCCATAGCGCGAATGTGTGGTCGGTGCAGTTCCACCCGGGAGATTGCAATAAGGTTGTGTCATGCTCCGACGATGCCACAATTGCAGTTACTGGCTGGGCTGGTGGCTCTGGTGAGCATAGCGTGCATACGCTGACCAATAGCCTCAATGTCATGTCTGTCAACTGCTTCGACATCTGTCCGTTCACCAAAACCAGCTTGCTAGTTGCAGGCTCGGATAGTGGCAGCATTCTGCTGGATAGCCGGGAGAATAGCGACTTCGACCTCTGAATACGACAACACACTCTTTCGCCGATTTCCTTGCCGCTAAAGTTTTACACCCAAGTAGTATCTCTGAGCATCATAGTCACGTGTATGGACCATCATTATTGCAGGTTTCATCAAAGTCTTATACTTGCTGCCCGCCATTTTTGGGATTGATAATTTCATAATACTCGTAAACTATCTCTACATCCTCTACAAATCTATATCACCAATGGGCTCTGGAAGCAGACCAGGAACACCGACCAGCCAAAAGTCGGAGGTGGCTATGACTACGGTCAGCGACGTGTCGAAGCTGACGATTGGGTGCAAGGCGTTTTTCGAAAAGGACAACGAAATCCGGCAAGCCGAAATTCTGTCAATCCGCGACAAGGCCATGCAGCACCGGGTGCAGCGCTCGGCCGAAGACGCACCCGTGCAGAACGAAAGGGGCGAGGTGGAGTTTGAATTCTACGTGCATTACATTGAGTTCAATAAGCGTCTCGACGAATGGGTGTCCGGCACACGTGCACGACTGGATAAACCAGTGACATTCCCGAAGAAGAAAAATAAAGCATCTCACGGCGGGAGTCACCACTCGGCCACGTGAGAAGAAGCGCAAGACCAACACCGGGTCGTCTGTGGCCACAGGCAGCGGCAGTGTGCCGCAGACCCCCGAGCATATTCGGCACGACGACGCGGCATATACGGCACCTCAGGGCACAGACGGGACGTTTTCAAAGGAGAAGGAGATTGAGAAGCTAAGGACACAAGGATCAATGACGCAGTCGAGCGGCGAGGTTGCACGCATGAAGAACCTGAATATCATCGAGATGGGTGAGTTCCAAGTCGAGCCGTGGTACTTTTCGCCGTACCCGACTGAAACAGCATATGTGCCAACCTTGTACATCTGCGAGTTTTGCCTATGCTATTATACCAACCACAAGCAGTACGAGCGGCATCGTACAAAGTGCACACTGCAGCACCCACCAGGCAACGAAATATACCGCAAGGACGACATCTCGTTCTTTGAGATTGACGGGCGGCGGCAAAAGATGTACTGCCGGAATCTGTGCCTGCTCTCAAAGTGCTTTTTGGACCACAAGACGCTGTACTACGATGTCGACCCGTTCCTGTTTTATATTCTGACGCAGCGCGATGAGCGGGGCTGCCATATCATCGGGTACTTTAGCAAGGAGAAGGAGTCAGCGGACAACTATAACCTGGCGTGTATCCTGACATTGCCGCAGTACCAGCGCATGGGGTACGGGCGTGTGCTGATGCAGTTCTCGTATGAACTGTCCAAAGCCGAGGGCAAGGAGGGATCGCCCGAGAAGCCACTGTCAGACCTTGGCTTGCTGAGCTACCGTGCGTTCTGGTCAGAAGTGCTGGTCGAGCTGCTGGTCGGGTTTGACGGCGGAGATCAGCATCGATGATCTAAGCAATATGACCAGCTTTACGACACAAGATATCCTGCACGCCCTGTTTAGTCTTGATGCGATCCGGTACTACCATGGCCAGCACTGCATTGTGCTGAGCGAGCGCGTAATCGAGCAGTACGAGCGGTTCAAAAAGAAGAAGCTGCGGCGTATCGACCCCACATGCCTGAAGTGGACGCCCAAGGTGTTCTCGCAGGCAGAGCTCCGGTACTTGTAAGGCCGGTGGATATTTTTAGAATGTATTGCCTGTTTATACCCGGCCAGTTTGAAGTGCATTGAAGGGGGCATACCCGTACACGGGCCATATTTCCAAGAGCTGATCGTCATCCATATCGCCGAAATGTCGGCCATTTACGAGGAGGGGCTCTGAGCCCACACTCTGGCCTGGGCGTGATGGGCCTAGGGGAACGTGTTAGCGAAGGAAATCGCTTGGAAATTCTTTTATCCCCGCCGCATGACCTGCTGTTCCCCGAGACCCGCTGCTTTTGGGGTCTGTGGATGTGTCCGAGGCTGAATCACCCGTAGCCTGTAGACGCGCTCCGACATACGCATCAGGTTGCAACCCTGTTTGCTGCCTCCCTCCACGAGCTACTTCGACAAGCAGCCACTTGCTCTTTTTTTGGCTTGCTGTTGTCTATTACCTCGCATATCGACCCAGAAACCCGACCCCTTCCCAGCAAACAACCCGCCGCATATGCAGAGCCACAATGCGGCAGGCCAAGGTCGATGGTTGCAAAGGTAAACAAACGGCAGGCGGTGCCGAAGGCAAAGGCACGCTGCGTGGATCTCACAAAAGGGGGTTGGGATCGGCACATTTCGACAAAGAGGGATGGGATAAAACCAGCTGATTTGCTGGCAGCATGGACAATCGGGGATAGATGGCAAGCAAGCCAGCTGCATCATGGGTTCGGCCCGAAATACTTGCCTTGACTGACATGATTTTGTTCCAGAAGAGAAGCGGGAGCCGGCTTTGGCCCACTTGCGCTGCTTTTATGGCAATCATTGGCGAATGTTCTTGCGAAGCCAGCATGCGGAATTGGGTGGAGCAAGGGATCGATAACGACTGCTCGCGCGGATTCATTGGGCTCTCTCGACGCTTCCTGATGCGGACTACAACCGACATATGGAGACATGTGCATGGAAACAAAGAAGCGGTACGTGCACGAGAAAACAATGCAGGAATATTCAGGTACACGTTCCAATCAGACTTGTTCTGATGCCATGTAGTTTTCCATCATGTCTATAAATAATGATTAGTGTGCATATGCAATTTAGAGGCTGCAGATTGCCAACATAGGGCCCATGCCGATACATGTGTGCTTGCCATTGAGTCTGGCAGAATTGAGCAGGACGTCCTGGCCATCTTACACTAAGAGTGTGTTGGTGGGTTCAAGCTGAAAACAGGATACCCTATGTCCTCTGCAATGGAGTTGGAAAAATGGATGCAGAGCCCGGCACAGGACAGCGTCTCCCACCACTCTCAATGCGCTGCTGGCCTAGGGCGATACACACCAAGGACTTGCACGGGCTAAACAAAGGACCGTCTACAATGGCAAACAGCAAATTACGGCCAATTTGTATGCAGCAGCGAGGGATCGGCCTCTCTTTATCTCTGCTCCTGGACGACATTCTCATTGACAGCTGGTGTTCGTCCACCATCATTACTTCTAGAGATGAAAAGGCATTGCAAGGTGCAAATCATCCGAATATCTTTGCCAGAAAATGCTGAATAGCAATCCATCCAGACGGGGAAGGAGCGGGCCGACCATGCCATGAAAGTGAAGGGGGTGTGTGGTTCGGCACCAAAATGGACATCGGTCCTTTTTTCACTTGCCAGCAATGGTCATCTGCTTGCCTCTTGGGACACACGGTGTGTCGCTCTCATGGTCCTCGCGGGCTATATAAAACCTGCAGTGTGGCTTCCCTAGACACCTTCATTCTCCTCAGATACAGCCTCGACTCTCTACTCACAACCCCTCTCCCCTCTCTTAATACCACTACATATATCGCTTCTAATACCCTTCTTTAAACAATGAAGATCACTGCTTCTGCCATCGGCCTTCTCGCCGCCATTCCGTCCGTCTTCGGTCTGTGGCCCATCCCTACCTCGCACACAGAGGGCAAGTCCAACAGCCAGGTCTGGTGGGTTGATATCCAGGTGCAGGGCCAGTCCAGCCCTGTTGTGCGCGATGCGGTCGAGCGCTACAGCAATATCATCAACAGCGAGTCGTTCCTGGCCCCTGTTGACTACAAGCGCGGCGTGCTGAAGACCCAGGGTGACTTCCAGGGCCTGGTTGTCTCGGTCGAGAGCACCGACGAGGCGCTCGGCCTCGAGACCGATGAGTCCTACACTCTGGACGTGCCTGTCAGCGGCAAGGCCTCGCTCAAGGCCAAGTCGCCGTACGGTGTGGTGCGTGGTCTCGAGACGTTCTCGCAGCTCGTTTCCTCGAATGGGAACAGCAAGGTTGTGGTCAACACGCCGATCAGCATCAAGGATGCGCCGGCGTTCCCCCACCGTGGTGTCCTGTTCGATACCTCGCGCAACTGGTACTCGGTTGACGCAGTCAAGCACACGCTTGATGCCATGTCATACAACAAGCTGAACGTGCTGCACTGGCACATTGTTGACTCGCAGTCGTGGGGCATTGAGTCCAAGACCTACCCCGAGCTGCACCAGAAGGGTGCGTACTCCGACAAGCAGCTGTACTCGTACAAGGACATCAAGGATATCGTCCAGTACGCCAAGAACCGTGGTATCCGCGTTATCCCTGAGTTCGATGTTCCGGGCCACACCTACGCCGTCGGCCTGTCGCACCCGGAGATCATGTCGTGCCTGGACGTGCAGCCTGGCTGGGACAAGTATGCTGCTGAGCCGCCCAGCGGTCAGCTCAACATTGCCAAGGATGGCTCGATTGAGTTCGCCAAGAATATCTTCAAGGAGTACGCTGCTCTGTTCCCTGACAACGTCATCCATGTTGGTGGTGATGAGGTCAACATGCACTGCTGGGAGACTGACCCCGATGTCCAGAAGTACCTGGCTGCCAACAAGAACGAGACCGTCGAGAGCCTGCTTCTCAGCTGGTACGGCAAGCTGCACAACTATGTTGGCAAGGACCTGAAGAAGACTGCCTTCACCTGGGAGGAGACCCTGTTCCACCACCCGTTCGATGCCCCAAGGACACCATCGTCCAGACCTGGATTGACTCTGCCTCGGTCCCCAACACCGTCAACCGTGGCTACCGCGCCGTCTCGTCCGACTACCAGTCGCTGTACCTTGACTGCGGCCACGGTGCCTGGCTGCCGAACTGGGACGGCAACTCGTGGTGCGACCCGTTCAAGACCTGGATGCACGTCTACAACTACGATGTTCTGGCCAACATCACCGACCCGGCCAAGCAGAAGCTGGTGCTCGGCACTGAGGTCGCTATCTGGTCCGAGCAGACCGATGAGCACTCGTTCGACCCGCGTGCCTGGCCCCGTGCTGCCGCTATGGCCGAGACCGGCTGGTCCGGAAAGAAGGACGCCAGCGGCCATGTCCGCACCACTGGCGAGGTTGCCTCGCGCCTGCACGAGCAGCGCTACCGCATGGTTGGCCGTGGTGTCAACGCCGAGCCCATGCAGCCTCTGTGGTGCGCTCGCAACCCGGGCAGGTGCGACCTGCCTTGAAAAGATGTATTGTTTTTCAATCCGTTCGCTCGATAATGCAATTGCTCCTCATCTATGTACATCATTTATACAGCAGAATGCTGCGCTATGCCCGGTTTTGGATACGCTTCAAATGTATTTTTCTAGCCATTTAGTGCACCAGCTGCCTGGGGGTCATGGCAAATGCTGCTACATCGCCCACCCTGAGTGTTCCTCATCGCTGACCTGCTGGTTAGCATCCTGGATGCTATCAACCAGCTCGACACCGGCCATTTCGATCTCATTAGCCTCAGCAACCATCGCTGCTTCGTTTATATGACCTGCCTGGAACTTCTCGTCCAAAAAATCAACAACCGAGTCTTTGCATAAAAACGGAGTCATCTCGCGCATCTCCAGGTCATTCCCGGAGGACACTGCTGGACACCCGATGTTGGGATTCTCAATCGGCTCGTCTGCCGGCTCTACCGAGGTCTCCCACTGCTTGGCCATGTGAGCAAGCCACACCATTTGCTGGGCAGTCATCTGGAACGACGAATGCACCGAGTCAATGAACGCAATGCCAACGCATTTCTGCACAAACCTGTCGAAATCGTATTTCAGCAGGTTCGCCACCGAGATGCCAGCTGTGTTGTAGCACACAAATGCAATGTTCTTTGCCGCATGGTTATCACGGAGAAAGCGTGACCACACATATCCGACGTGCTCATCGGGGGTCTCGTTACCGCGAATCTCGGTAGTCTTCCCAAGCGACTCAATGTTTGCATAGGTCTCGGGCTGCCCGTCTGCCGCAACAATGTTCTCATTTGGGTTCATGACCAGCACGCCATACCCCTGGGCATGCAGCGCCTGGATGTACGGGATCAGGCTGCCAGCGCGCAGCCCTTCTTTTACCAGCACGTTCCACGCCCAGACCCCCGGGCGCGGGCCATGGCCAGTGCAGAGGACCACCAGATTGGCGCACTCGAGGGCGCCGGGTGTGATAAAAATACTGGTGTGCGCAAGCGATTCTTCGGGCACGGCGATCGCCTGCATACCGATTTCGTCGCTGGTAAGCAGCTCAGTGACATGGCGGGAGGCGGCATCTGCGAGCATGTTGTAGAGCTTGAGGTTGCGTTTCTTGTTGCCTGGGTATACCTCAAATTCGTAGCGCCCGCCGGTGGTGGTGTTGAGCAGAGTGCCGTTGGTCGAGTCAAAGGCATAGCCGAGCTCGGAGAGCGTCAGCCGTGCATGTGTGACAGATGCAGATATATGGGGGCGAATAAACATGGTAAGGTGTTGCTTATTGGGAATGCATTGAAGGCATGGGCTGGTGGCGAAAAAAGACCAGGGACATAAATGGGATGGAAGCAATTGAGATAAATGGGACAAAAGAAAAACAAAGCAGGTGTCAGTAGAAAAGCTAGTCCTTCTTCTTGGTCTCCGACTGCGGGATACGCATGCTGACCGACCCATCCTCGTTGCCGAACCACGCTTCGCATGCCATCCGGCTGAACACGCCAACCTCGACGACGCCAGGAACCATCTTAATCAGCTGCTCAACCGCAACCGGATCATGAATCCTACCGACATGGACATCCAGAATGAAGTTGCCGTTGTCGGTGACAACAGGGCCGGCCTTGCGCACCGCATTGCGCAGCGTGGCGACCGGGTGGTTGAGCTCAAAGGCATCGGACGTGGCCAGGACGCCCAGAGCACGCGACCGCGGCACCAGGCGCTCAAGCTGGCGCTTGATGGTCTGCCAGGCGATAGGCGAGACCTCGACTGGAATGCCCTTGTCCCAGTTCTGGCCGAGAACCTGCGAGTTCTTGCGGTAGTCCGCAATCAGAACCAGCTTTGCCGAGGCATTGGCCACCAGCTTCTCGCGCAGGTGCGCGCCACCGCCGCCCTTGATGGCATTCAGCTCAGCATCGACCTATATGGAAAGCGAGATCAGTGAGGCGATGCTTTGTCGCTTGCACGCGCCTTATCGCGTGATTTGCTGGAGAACAGGAGGTAAAAGACAGTGCGCGAGCTTTTCTCACTGGACCCGAGCAGGGGGTTCCCTTTTATATCCCAGAGGGCTGGATCAGGAAGGCGAGCATTGACCACACAGATCGGTTGGAAGAAATAAGACGGATTTCATAATTGCCTGCTGGCCAGGGGCGCAGGGCTTTTCATCAGCAAGCCAGTACTTACCTCGTCGGCGCCATCAATAGTAACGTCGATGGCAGTGTAGGTGGTAGACGACGGGTCGGCATCGACCAAGCTACAAAGAAAACTGAATTAGCAACACCCTTCGCATATAACACAGGGCGAAAGCAGCCATGTGTAGGAAAGCCTCGTGCGCAAGTGGCTGATATGCGAAGCAGACATACTCATCCAGGTCGGCGGCGCGCAGGCCAGCCTCGTTAATAAGCTGCTTCGACTGGAAGCTGGTAGGCACGCACTGCAGCTCGGGGTGCAGCTTGCCCTCGTTCTTGAGCTCAAGCAGGCGCTCGGCAGCGTAGACGACGGTCGATCCACTGCCAACGCCCAGGACGCGGACAGACGGGGTGACGTGCTTGTCAACGGCGGCAAAGGCGGCGCTGCGCTTGGCTTGTTCAACAAGGCTGAGAGTGCTCATGGTGGCTGTGTGTCTGTAGGAGTGAATTAATTTAAGAGTGGCAGTAGAGAAAAATGACATGGAGGGGGTAGAAAAGATTGGAGATAGCAGGCAAGGACCGGCGCGCCGATATTTATACCCGCTGCTGGCCCTAAGCCGGCTTGGGCTGCGAGGGCTGAGGGCAAGCCGAGCCACCAATCGCCATGTTTTCATTTGGCCAGTGATGGAAACACCCCTCGTGTTTGCCTTTTTCAACCACTGTAGTCAAATTGTGTGTTTCGTTAAAGCCCAGCCAGAGGGAGAGTCGCATTTCAAAGCTCTTTTGGCCCTCCCACTATAATTCCTGTTTATAATCGCTGGTGGTAGAGGCAGATTGACACACTATACTTTGAAAGCACGCATTGTTGCCCCTTTTACAGACTCCAAAAACACTAGCGCACATACAAAAAAAAAAACAACCTTCTCGCAGCAGCCAAATGTCAAGCAATTCACATCCGAAGACTGATGAAAGCGGCGACACGGAGAACCTGTGGGAGTCGGCTCTGCAGCAGGTGGGCTCGTCAAAGGCAGTGGCGGCAAAGACAGTGCTGGTGCTGGGCGACTCGAACTGTGGAAAGACCAATGTCGTCTCGCAGCTATTCCAAGCATCGTTGCACCCGCAGACGGGCAACGGGCAGGATAGCAGCACTGTCTCCACAGCAATCGGCACAAACGATCCCCTCAGCGAGATCGAAACGCTGGTGACGCTGAGCAAACACGACCTTGCACTGTCGTATTCGTACATGGATGTGCGCGACGAGGACAACGAGGAGACAATTGCACGGCTCGGCATTTTCCAGCTTGCCTCGGATCGCACGACAGACCGCGAGCTGCTAAAGTACGTGCTGGACGCACGGTCGTTTGGCGGCTCGGCAGCGGTGATTGTGCTCGACTGGTCGAAGCCCTGGCGGTTCGTCAAGTCGCTTCTGCGCTGGTGCAATGTGCTTGGGGAGGCAATCGAGTGCGTGTGCAAGGACACGGGCGGGCGCGAGGCAGCGTCGAACAAGGGCGCAAGCGGGTGGACGTTGGGCAAGGCCACAGTGGATGAGTGCCGCGAGCGGCTGGAGCGGTTTCTGCAGGAGTATGTGGAACCGGCAGAGCCCAGCGGGGAAGCGCTGGCAGGCACGCAGAAGCTGGCAGCAAAGGCCGTCGATGTGCTGCTGCCGCTAGCCAAGGGTGTGCTGGAGGAGAATCTTGGCCTGCCGCTGGTCGTCGTGTGCACAAAGGCCGACTCGATGGCAGTGTTGGAGCGCGAGCGTGCATTCAAGGAGGAGGACTTTGATTACATCCAGCAGATTCTGCGTGCGATCTGCCTCCGGTTCGGAGCAGCGCTGATCTACACGTCGACGCATAACCCGACGACCTTCTCGACGCTCTACCATTACCTGGTGCACCGGCTGCTAAGCACACCCACGACACTGGCCACAGCCAATGCTGATGGCGAGGAGACACAGCTGGGCGAGTCACCAGCAGACGATGAAACAGGCAAAATGGATGTTGATGTGGCAGCCGAGCCTATGGTAGATAGCGCACGGGCAAGAGCAGGCTCTACGGCCACAACCAGTGCTCCGGCGGCTGCACAGAACTCGGCTGCCCTGACAAAGTACCCATTCCGGCTGCGTGCCAGTGTGGTTGACCGTGACGTGGTGTTTGTGCCTTCGGGCTGGGACTCGGTTGCCCAGATCAAATACCTGCGCGATTCATTCGACGTCGCTGCGGTGCAGGGCGCCTGGGAGTTTGATGCGCAGCGGTACCAGACGATTGTTGAGCGCGCCACGCGCGAGTCATCAGTGACAGCGCCGGTGCAGCTAAGCAGCAGCGATGCCAACAGCGCGGCATCGCTTGGAATAGCCATGCAGAGCGACCCCGAGCCAGCCGACACCAACAACAGCGTGCTGATAATGTTCGGCGAGGTTGTGTCGGCGCCCAAGCGGCGCACCGGTCGGGATGCCGACGGCAGCACCACTGTGGCAGCCGTGGCAGCAGCAGCAGCAGGCATGGCGAGCCACGTGGCTGTTGAGGACGACCAGTCGTTCCTGGAGCGCCTGTACGTCGAGCAGGAGGAGCAGATGCGGCAGGAGGGAGAGGAAACCAGCTACAACGATGTGCGCCCGCACCCGAGCGGCGGTGCATCCAGCAAGTTTGTGACCAACCTGCTGCGCAGCATGCACAGCGCCGAGTCATCGCTGTCAACTGCCATTGATGTGCCGTCGCCGCGGGAGACCAACAGCGGTAATGTATCTGATGACGGCGAGGACTTTGACAGTGTCGACACTAGCCCCATCCCCAATGCCTCTGGTGCCCGCCAGGCCCCTGGCATGCCACCAATGCCTGCAAATGCCGTGTCGCAGCCTACGCGACGGCGAGATTGGCGGCTCGCTAGGCCGCAATGCTGGCAATCGGGCGGCCCGTCCAGTCGCCTCCAGCGACCAGCCGCAGCACGGCACCATCAGGCGCAAGCTGACACTCAACTCGTCGCACAGCAAGCAGGCCAGCGGCGATGCTGGCTCGTCGAACGAAGAGCTGACGAGCTTTTTCCAGAGTCTGCTGGGCCGTAAGGGCGGGGTCGCCTCGGCAGCAGCTAGCAATAGCGGCAAGAGCTCGCCACAGCAGCCACCACGGCAGGTGGGACCCACAGGGATGACGAGAGCATCGACCACAGGATCACATAGGGACGTGCAGGCCGAGTTTGAGCGCCTGAAGACCCAGCTCAACCGGTCCAAGGAGTAACAAAAAGGGCTCTGTTTCTAGTTGAACAAAAATACTACAACTCCTGCAAGTTTTGCTTGGCAAACCTTAGCTGCTTTCTGGACAGGCTGCTGTTGCAGAGCAGGAGCTGGGCTGGGTGGTCTGGCGACAGATCCGACAAGTGATTCAGGCACACCGCCTTGTACACCTGCATGTGCGACGGCTTCTTGCCAAACACAAAGCTGTGCGAGCACAGATGCGTGCTCATCCAGCACTCCCACACGCCGTCTATAGCGCGGTCGCGCTCGCATGGGTCTGTTGCCGAAAAGTGCGCCAAGAGCCTTGCCAGGCACTTCCACGCAAACTTGTCCTGGCTGTTGCCCACATCAATAGCATCAACGACCACCCGGATCATCCTCTTGAGAACGTCCTGGTCGATATCCTCAGGCTTGTGCAGGGTCTCTTTGATGATCCCACTGAATCTGTCCGCCGACAGAGCAAACGGATCCGCCTGGATGTACTCCAGCGCGCTCTCCAAGCCTACCTGGTCCATCTCCATCGCCGCCCGGCGCGCCAGCAAGCTCTGGTCATCCTCCAACCACTTTGCCACAAACGCCTCGGCATCCTCCTGCCTGCCCAGCGCCACTAGTACCTGGACATACGCCGGCTTGACGAAATCGCAGTCAGGGTCGATCTGGAGCGCCCTGAACAGATGCGACTCGGCGTCCATCAGCGTGAACCTCGTGCTGGTCCACACATCCTCCTTGGCCAGCGGTAGGCAGCCCTGGATTCGCTCCAGATCGCCCTTCACCTTGGTCCGCAGTTGCAGCTCGTCCTCGCGCAGGCTCACGGTCAGAAGCCCATACAATGCATGGGCCATGGCGCTGCCGCTGCCGGCCTCCTGCACAAACACAGTCATAATATCGTATGCCCGCCGCATCGACCCGAGCTCGAGAATCTCGAGGAATATGCGCTCAAACATGCATAGCTGTGGCCATTGCGTGTGCGTGACGGTGTGCATCAGGTCGAGGTACGGCGCCAGGGACCGTGCTGGCTGCTGCTGCCGGAGTGTGTCCAGGAAGGGCTGCCAGATTCGCTGCAAGGGCGCGCGTGCTCCGTTGATGGTGGACAGAAGCAGCCGGCTGGCGGTGTCGTAGGAGCCGCGCTTCGTGTGCGTGTGTATCAAGTGCACAGTGGTGTTGCGGAACTGGTTCAGC